CCTTGACGAAAACTCAAGATCTTCGCAATTTAACGTCACAAAGGCCTTATGATGACCCTCACCAAATTTGAAGATGATCCGATTAAAACTGTAGGAGGAGTTCGTCAAAGTACGAGGCCTGGAAATGGCAAAAACTGCACAAAAATCGTGCAGGAAATTCAAAATAACGTACTTCCTGTTGGGTTTTGGATTTTGTACCAAGAGACTTTTTTGTAGGTAATGGTGTGTTACACGTGTGTACCGATTTTCGTACGTGTACGTAAAACGTAGCTCGAGGTACACTCTGTTGAACTTCTACAGGCGGCGCTATCGAGCCATTTTGCCACACCCACTTCTGAAACCCATATCAGATGTAAATTTTCGCCAGTTCTGATGCGTGTGCAAAGTTTCGTGAGTTTTCGAGCATGTTTAGGCCCTCAAAAATGCGATCCTTTTCGGAAAAGAATAATAATAATAATAATAATAATAATAAATGGAGCAAATCCAAGAGGGTCCTCGCACCGCAGTGTTCGGGCCCTAAATATATTAAAATAGAAAATGTTTTAAAGTTGTAATAATATTTCTCAATATTACTGTTTTACTGTATTTTTGATCAAATAAATGCAGCCTTGGTGAGCATAAAAACTTCTTTCAAAAACATTTTGAACAGAAATGTACATACTGTGTACTTACTAGAGGAATCACATAAGTAGGTTACTACTCTTGAACCAATCCTTTATCCCAAGTAGTTACTTTACTCAATACACATACTGTAAAATAAAGTGCAACCACAATATTTCCAAAAAAATAAAAATTGTCGAATGTAAATCCTCTTGTGCTGTTTCAAACCAAGTTGTGTTCTAAATACCAAGTCTTCTGAAGCCATAGAATAGCTTTGCAAGGAACAGAAGGAATTCGTTGTTAATCTTCCTCTCTATCTCAGCTCTCAAGTGCCAGATGCCATTGGTTCTTGCAGCAGGACTGAATGTGCAAAAGTGTAAATGAGACTGAAAAGGGGATAATTTTCTATAATTCTGGGTATAATTCTTTCTTATGCAAAGCTACTGTATGGCTTCAGAAGACTTGGAATATGCAATTTCCCTGTGCTAAAGTTGATTAGATAGCACAAATAACTTTCCACCTATTCAAGACCAAAATAATAGAAATTGTGATACTGAAAATCACTGTATCAATCTTGTTTAAATGTGAGACACTTCAGATTGAGCATATGGGTCTTTTATAGCATAAAACTGTACGTAAAACCACTGCAGTGTTTTGCCACAATACATTGTTTATTGCAAAACTTTGACCTCATTACCATGACATTGCATTGCAGGATTCCTAGTGATCATGCAATGACAAACTCCTGTGTTTTCTGTTGTTATACGACAGAGGGAGCTGATATTCCTTCATCTCACACGCACACGGCTGCTGACACAGCAGAGTGTTTCCGGCTGTGTTGGCAGGATGCAGGTTTGGGAGAGCCCTTGAGTGTCAGATGGTCTGGGCTTTTTTTGGAAGAACTCACTGTGAGGAACTGTTGGTTTTTGAGGCACTTTCATATTTACAGTATTTAATCAGCTGTTCAGATGCATACATTTAAATAGTCATTAGTCATAATAACCCATAATAATGAAAGACAAAACAACAGTATATCGTCATATTATCCATTGTGGACATACACAAACTGCATTTTGCTTTTTTGTGTTCATCCTTTCCATATGAATTTGTCAGATTCATAGAGATTCGATTCAACAGAGGTTCAACTGATAGAGGTCACAGATAACTTTTCATTTCTTTCTTTCTGAATTCTGAAAAAGTCAGGAAACAGAAAAGAGAGGGCTGGGATCAGGAAATGACCCAAGCCAGAACTAACCTTAGATTAAACAAGTGCTACCAGAGAATCTCTGACAGTTGGCTGAACTGCTGAGAAGCAGAATGTGAGGAGTGTAACACTGTAGTTTGTGGCATTTTCAAAACAATGCTCTGTTTGAGCGGCCCTGACTTTGACTGCTTAATATGCCCATGTTTGCATTCACATTTGGGAGTGGGAATGTTCAAGCAAGAATCTGACATGGCCCTGTGGATTATTTTCTGTGGGTTCTCTGAGATTTCCTGTGTTCACACGCTTCAGTGGCTTGTTTGAGCAACCAATGAAAATATACCATACATATCTGTAATCTTTTCTGATTTGATTCTGAACGCATAAAGCTGTAGTGTGTATCTTTTTTGTGCTAGCAGTCAGTTGCAACAAATGCAACTGCAATATGTTTATTTTAGCAGCATGACACTAGAACATTATCTATATTAGAAAACAGTCTTTCTTTTGGCATTTCTGTTTGGTGTCGCACATAAATTAAACTGCCACTTTAAGTAATGCAACATCACAAATAGCAGATTTTCTTCCTGTAAGAGGTAAGTGAAGAAAAACGTAATATATTTTAATTTACTAAGAGAGAATAGTTAATATCCATATTGATAAACAACAAATGCAATAAACGCCTTTCAGTACCTATACAGGAAGTATTTATTTAATTTTCAATCTAAGCTGTAAACACATGTTCAGGATTTTGGGAGATGTATTATGTAAAATGTAAGTTTAATTTAAGATACCAAGTAATAATTTAAGAACTAACCATTGAAGTATTCATATTGGTCAATAATCTCAGTGTATATGGTGGATAATGTTGCCATGATGTTTTTTAAAGGAGTTTGTCATCTATATTTCGTATCACATAATTGTTAGATTACTGTAATTTAAATAAAATCATGTATAATGCAGTTATGCATTCAGGTTTCGAATGAAATAAGACCTTTGTAGTAGATTTTGGGTTCCTTGGACCAAAAGGACCACAGTGATATGGAGATTTCCAAGGTGACCCACACTTACCCTATAGTAGTCGGTGCTGTATACATCTCTGGACATGCCGAAGTCTCCTATCTTGACAAGCAGGTTCTCTCCCACCAGGCAGTTGCGTGTGGCCAGGTCTCTGTGCACGAAATGCTGTGAAGCTAGATACACCATGCCTGCTGCTATCTGCTGGGCAATGTGTAGCATCTGAGGCTGAGTTAACTCCACCTGCAAACTCTGTTGTCCATCTGCCATCAGCACTGCATCTGGTCCATGAGCCCTGTAAGAGAGAGTATGAGAATAGCATGTGCATGACTGAACTAAACTGGAGGTCAGAAAGTGGACAACATACAGACACGTTTTGCTTAGACTTTACAGATCAAATGAACAATTTCTTTATTGAAATAATCCATGCAGGCTTTTATAAAATAATGAGCTTTACAATAAAATGCTGTAGACACATTTTTTGCTTTCTTTAAAAACCTGTATGAAATTCTTTCTTCTGCAGAACACAAAAGACGATATTTTGAAGACATTTTGAAAAATGTCACACAGGTCTGGAACAACATAAGGGCAAATGATAGCAGTTTTCATTTTGGGGTGAAACATCATTGTTGGGTGGGTGGGTGTGATAAACACCCTCCTGCAAACCTGAGAAACTTGTTGAGGTCTCCATGTTTCATGTACTCAAACACCATAATGAGAGGGTCGCTTTCTACACACACGCCATAAAACTTGACAATGTGCTCATGCTGCAGGTTGGTCAGGAGCTCTGCCTCTCGGTGGAAATCTGCTCGTCCACTTTCACTGGCTTCCTTCAGAGTCTGGGAGATAAGAAAGTTTGATCTTTTATTACAGAAATACCTACGGTAAAGCCTCATTACGTAGCCACAACCTGAAATGTACAGAATCAATGTTTTGTTGTGTAAATATACCATACCTTAACAGCCACCAAAATCTTCTCTTGGTCAGGAGACAAGTTGTAGCATTCAGCTAAGAACACTTTCCCAAAAGCCCCTTCTCCAAGCTCCCTCTTCAGCAGAATGTTGTGACGTTTTATGTGTTGGACGACTGCAAAACAAGGACCACGCATACTTAAAACTAGATTTCTCACAATTTCTGAAAACATTTGAGTGGTTTCACTTAGTGGTCACTAAGGTGTACTGAGTGAACTATTGATTGATTGAACATAAGAAAGAAACTTATAGAGGTTTGGAACAACATGAGGGTGAGTAAATGATGGCAAAATTTTCATTCTTGGGTGAACTATTCCTTTAATTGCAGTCTGCACTTATTGGCCAGTGTTATTTTAGTATTATTGATATACAATTATACTTTTTGTTAACATTTTTAATTAGATTTTTTTTTTTTTTTCCCTTTGTTAAAGTGTTAGTAATTTAGTTGTGTGTGTGTATATATATATACTTTCAAATTAAATTTCAACTTATGAAAATGATATTGAAATAATTTTTAGTATTTTTTTCCATTGTTGTTTTTAAAAGTATCTTTTTGATTCTTTTAAAAAAGTAAAGTTAAAAAAATATTTGGTAAATTATGAAACTTGATGTAAAGAAAAAATGTGTCCCTCATTTTCATGTCACTACCAAGACCATTGGCTAAGAGTGATTTTAACTTCACCCCTAAATTTATGATCAGGAAATAATCATGTGTCCCCCTCTCTCATAGCTACAATGTGCGAGTAGATAGGTCCCATCATTTTGAGGTAAATGTGTTCAAAAGTCTGAAAAATCTGTGTGTAACTTCCGAACACCTTTTTCTGCAATTAAGCACACTTTTTTGGGAGTTATTCCATAACATTTAGTTTTTATATATGTACCACTGTTTAGAACTGTGCTAGCTAACCATATATACATTTTGGGTGTTATCCCATAAAATTGTCACTACCGAAACAGTCACGACCAAAACATGTCATCATTTCGGTAGCGACAAAAGGGAACACATAATCTCATATTTGGGGGAAATAAACAAAACATTTTTACAGTTATGCAATTTTTTTGTATTTTAGTGTTTTTTTGTAGTGTTTTAGTATGCAAGTTAAAATTCTGTAATGTGATGTGGTCGCTACCAAAGCATTACTGTGACTGTCACTACCGAAAATATGCAGTCACTACCGAAACATGGGATGTTTTGTCAAAAATAAAGTATACTGAATTTTCAGCTAAGATGTTTTGATAGTTTTTGGTTCAATGTATATTCAAACTAATGAATCCTTAACTTTGAAATCAGTATGATCACTTTTCAGACTTTTTGCCTTTTACAAAGAAAAATTGGATACAAAATACAACAAATCTCATAAATTACAGTTGAAATATTGTTAAAAATACTATAATATCATAAAGCCTTCTAATTAAATTATTATTACTGTGTTTTGGTAGTGACATGTTTGGAGAGAGGACAAATATTCCAAAACTTTCTGAAAATACAATATGAGAATGAACGGCACAATTACTAGAAATGTGTACCTTGGATATTATACCATTTGCATACATACACATTTTTTTCAAGGCGTTTCTGACTTTGACTTTGGACCAATTCTATTGAATGGCCCATATAAATATAGATATGACGCCCCATTTTGGTGACCGTAACAAATTACATAATTACAAATGTGATTTTATATACACAGAAAGCATATTCAATTCAAGCGTCTGCTTTAATGTTTCAAATTACTTTTGTCAAAACAAAATGTCAAAACGTGGGTGAAATATTGTTTCATCATCACTCAGCGTAACAGATATATTTATGCGAAAATGAAACAACAAACTTATTCTGACATGTACTTGTTAAAACATATAAAAGAATAAGTGATCATATTATATTTTAAAACATCTTGCTGACAAAAGGGCAAAACCTGCTTGTTTGAAGGATAGTAGCAAAATGGGTAAAGATTTGAAGTTACAAATAATTAGAATTTTAGAGCTAAAATCTAATCCTTAAATTAAGTCACTTAATGTCATCTAATGACTCTTGTTGTAACTATGCCTAACAAGAAATGTGTATTATGAAATATTGTTACACGGAATTACTTTTTTTCTGTAAATCATGGTAACAATGTATAATCATTATTTTGTGCTTATAAAACCCCTACAACAAATAAAACCCTAAATATATCTAGATTAGGTTACAGATCACAAATATATATATGCATGAATTAATCATTCATAATAACACCAGTAACATGCAATACGAAAACTAATGGGGTCAATATTGTTTTCATGCTGACTTAACCCTACATATGAGCAACTATGTGAGATGCTTGCTTTAGCAAATATCACTAACGATCAGTCAGTTGTTGGTAAGATTTACAGGTGCACTATTTACAGATCCTGAAATGTAAATTAATTTAAATGAAGAACGCTTGCAGATTCATCTACAGTCCAACAGTGATTAAAGGGTTAGTTCACCCAAAAATGAAAATTAGCTCATAAATTACTCACCCTCAAGTCATCCTAGGTGTATATGACTTTCTTCTTTCAGACGAATACAGTCGGAGGTATATAAAAATTGTCTTTGATCTTTCAAGCTGTTTCATGGCACTCAGCGGGTGTTGCATGTGTCCGTCCAAAAGAAGTTAAAAGCAAAAAAAAGTGTCTCACACGGCTCCGGGGGGTGAACAAAGGCCTTTTGTAGCGAATCGATGCGTTTTTGTAAGAAAAATATCCATATTCAAAATGTAATAATCACTTTAATGTAGCTTGCGCTCACTGTTGTACACTGGAAGCAGTTCCTGGTGGATGACGAATGAGGTCAGCACTGCGCATGCGCCGCTCAGAAGTGATGCACGCGGAAACGCAGCCGAGAGATCAAAACAAAACAACGGTCACTAATTAGAAGTACAAAAGGAGGATTTGTAAAGAAGAATGTCGGAGGATTTCGATATAAGCCAAGAGGAGACTGGTTTTCCTTTGCTAAAGTAAGGAAACTTTGCTTCCTTTGCTCCTGTTAACAAACGTTGGTTTTCACGAGACTCACCGGCACATGCACAACGCTGAACTCATACGTCATCCGCCCAGAGCTGCTTCCAGTGTACAACTGTTGGCGCAAGCTACATTAAAGTGATTATTAAGTTTTGAATATAGATATTTTTCTTACAAAAACGCATCGATTCGCTACAGAAGGCCTTTGTTCACCCCCCGGAGCCGTGTAAGACACTTTTTTTTATGGATGGGCACTTTTTATTTAACTTCTTTTGGACAGACGCATGGAACACCCGCTGAGTGCCATGAAACAGCTTGAAAGATCAAAGACAATTTTTGATATAACTCCGACTGGATTGGTCTGAAAGAAGAAAGTCATATACACCTAGGATGACTTGAGGGTGAGTTATTTATGGGCTAATTTTCATTTTTGGGTGAACTAACCCTTTACGTTACACAGCGTCAGCCACCCCTGATATCATCGCCATGGTGATAGAAGGGGAGGTTACTATGACAACTGACCAGTGGTAACCTAGGCTGGAATCTATTTCAGAGTGGGGCTACTGATGGCCCAGCATGCCATGGCAACTCACAAGTGTCCGATTTCAGCATGCTGCCGGGGTTGCGGAAGTACTGGGGGTTCTCGATGACTGGAATCTTTGTCATTCCAATGATAACGGCATCTGGGCCCATCTCCGATGATGATGGCGTGTTGTTGCCATTGGAAACGTGGTGAAGCGGGCTGGCCGAGTCGTCGTCATTACTGATGACAGATGAAGAGCCTGGTCGGGAAAAAATCAGACAATACAATAATCCACAGAAATAATAAGAATTCAGATTCTCAATACAGATTCTCAAAAAGTGCATTATTATGAGAGCGAAAACAATAACCATAAAGTTTGTTTAGAAGGTGCAACTAATAATGTTGCTGAAAAAAATTCAAATTCATAATATTCTGTATTTGTATGTGATATGTACAGTAATAGATGACATTACCTGACTTTACTTACGTAATGTGACATATTTCTCAGTGAAACAAGATATTTAACAAGAAAAAAAATGTAGGCCAGGATTTGTTTTTATTTTTATTTATTTTCAACAGGAACCAATTCAATTGTGAAATGTAGGTGTTCCATATGAGAATGGAGACAGACTTGTAAGTTTGCTAAAACATTGCTTAAAATGCTTAAACATGCTTAAAGTGCGCCTATTGTGGATTTTTGAAAATTACCTTTCATGCAGTGTGTAACACAGCTCTAAGTGAATGAAAACATCCTGCAAAGTTTTAAATCTGAAAGTGCACCGTGTATGAAGTTATTGTCTCTCAAAAGAAAGAGTCGACTGAATCATTGAAAGGAGTTGTTTTTAAAGGGGTCATATGATGCGCTTTCAACGTTTCCTTTCTCTCTGGAGTGTTACAAGCTCTTGGTGCATAAAGAAGATCTGTAAAGTTCAAATCCAAAGAGATATTCTTTATAAAAGTTAAGAGTCAACCACGCCTACCTAAAACGACTCGTTCTAACACGCCCCCACGTCTACGTCACGATGTGGGAAGATTTGCATAACACCGTCCAAATGTTCACGC